ACCCCCTGCCGCCCCAGCCCTGGGCTCCCCCCTCACCTCCAGCCGGTCTGGCGTTGGCAGGGTCGGGGTACCTATTGGGTCCTGGGAAGTGGGTGGGCGGAAGGCCCACTGCTAAAGGATCCCCCCCTAGCCTAAGAGGAGGATCTACAGGACCTGAAACCCAACTGATTTCGGAGGACAACTAATGAAATAACAGGGACAGGAGTGCGGACAGAGGGTCAAAAGAAGGGGGCCTGACGGGGACACCGAGCAGAGAGCCCCGGACAGCGCCCACTGCTCCTCAAAGGTGTCAAGGGAGCCAGTGGACCCTGCCCAGAGGAACTCTGCCCGGATACGTGACCGGACAGAGGATCGGAAACAGGCCCACAGTCACAGGAGTCTCCATTGGCCAGCCTCCTCTCCCTGGTTTTCTAGATGGCTGTTTTAGCCAGGGCCAGGAGGAGGTTGACCAGGAGGTCCCGTGACTTTGTGGGGCCACGGACAGGGAGTGGGTAGAGAAGAAGGTGAGGGGAAAAGCGTAGCCAGAAACGTAACAAAATGTTCATGAGGAGCCGGTATAAGGGGTTGGGGTAAGCAGCGGGGCTCCCGGGCCGCACCTCAGCCCTGGGTCCCTCCAGCCAGGGCTCCTGCCTCCAGGACCGGTGGGACCCGGGAGGGCAGAGCTGAGGGACCGCCCGATAGGGGACTGAGGAGCCGGGGCAGGGTAGCCCCAGAGGCCGCGAAGCCCCGGAGAGTGGATGTAGGCCCCGCACAGCAGTGCCCCGCCCTCTATGGCCCCGCTGCTGCTTCTGGCCGCCCTCCCGCAGTCCCTGGGCGGCTCGGGCCGCTTCGCCCAGCCCCGGCTGCAGCACTGGGGGGCAGCCGCCCTGCGGCACCTGTAGGCGGCTCCGTGTGTCCCGCGGGGCGGCTCCCAGCCCGAGTGTCCCCCACTCGGAGCCTGCCCAGCTCTGCCACAAGGTGTGGGCGCTGCTCCCCCGCAGCACAAACTACAGCAGCCCCAGGGTGCCCCCACACATGACGCGCTGCTGCTGCCAGGGCCGGCTCTAGGTTTTTGCCGCCGGAAGAAAAAAAAAGACGGCCAGAATGCCGCCCCTGAAAATGTGCCGCCCCCAGCACGTGCTTGATTTGCTGGTGCCTAGAGCCAGCCCTGGTGCTGGCTGAGCTCCCAGATCTGCCCGTTATTAGCATGGCAGGAAATATGGAGGCTGGCGAGCGTGGGGCAATTCTGCTTCGCCAAGCTGTTGTTTGTCTTTCTATTGATGTTTGCTCCTGTAGGGACCCCAGCTGGTGATCAGGGCATAGCTTGTGGAGGAAGAGGCCAAGTCATTCTTCTCCCTGTGTTAATTCTCTGGCCCCCATCAGCATAGTATGTGAACATCTCACAATCTGTAATGGAAGAGACAAGGTGGTAGCTTGTATTAGAACCTAAGAATGGCCATACTGGGTCAGACCAGGGGTCCATCTAGCCCAGTATCCTGTCTTTTGACAATGGCCAATGCCAGGAGCTTCAGAGGAAATGAACAGAACAATCATCGAGTGATCCATCCCCTGTCGTACACTCCCAGCTTCTGACAGTCAGAGGCTTGGGGACAGCCACAGCATGGAGTTGCGTCCCTGACCATCTTGGCTAATAGCCACTGATGGCCACATCCTCCATCCACTCAGGGGTCTATCCAGACAAGCTTTCGAGCTCCACAGAGCTCTTCTTGTGAAGCTCGCAAGCTTGTCCCTTCCACCACCAGATGTTGGTTCAATGAATCACCTCCCCAACCTTCTCTCTCTCATACACTGGGACCACCAGGGCTACAACAACTCTGCAACAGTCCTTCATGTATTTCTCCTCACACACCCCTGGGAGGCAGAGCAGGGCTATTACCCCATTGTACAGATGGGGAACTGAGGCACAGACAAGCTAAGGACCAGAGTTTTAAAGTACTTAGGCCCCTAACTCGTATTGCACAAGGGCACTCAGAAAGCATAGGGTGGAGCGGGTACTCAACGCCAGGTCTCCTGAGTCCTAGGCAAATGCCCTAACCACTGAACCACCTTTCTCTCCTTGGCTAGCCTTCATTGTCTAGCTAGTATCACTGCAGTTAGTACAGAGCCTAGCACAATGAGGCCCTGGCCCCTGGTCCCTGCCCGGGGTCCCTACACACTACCATGAGACCCGTCCATAATTTGCTATCCCGTGGCTTTGGCTCCTAGGCCGTGGCAGCAACGTGGATGTGGTGGTGGGGGAGACAGACTACAGCAGCTACGCCATCCTGTACTACCAGAAGCTCCGGAAGATCTCCATCAAGCTCTATGGTGGGTGTGCAGGCTCATGGCCTTGCCATTTGCTACCCTGGGGAATTGCCTCCCCATGGCGAGGCACCGAGGCACAGTGGGGCAGGCTGTCAGACTAGGGGGGAATGTTTGGACCCAGGGGGCACTAGTGGCCCTCATGGGGTAGGGCCCAGACAAGCGCCCCAAGTTTTGTTTGCTTACAGGTTAGATTGGGGTGACTTTGCTCAGCGCCCCAGCTTGTGTCCTGGGGCATTTCCTCCAGGCTGCTCCCTCCCAGCTCAACTCTATAGCCATGGGGTCCAGAACCAGCACTGTTTGTGCTCCGGCACATAGGGGTGGCACTGTGCCGGAGGGGTAGGGCTCTGCTGTGGGGAGGTGAGGGCAGTGGGGCTTTGGGGCTGATTCTATTTCACATGGCAGCAACGCTTCCTGGAGGCTGCAAATGTCTTGGTTTGAGGCTGGGCTCAAGTGTGTGGTAGGAATCACACTTGCTCATGGGAAGGCTGAATTTGGTCTGGTGGCTCCAGACACTGGATGGATGATCACCAGACTCGGACTAGAGCTGGGCTTGAAATGCTTTTCCTGCCCCACAAACATGTTTGAAATGTTGAAAAATGGCCCCATCCAGCATAGAGAGAAAAAAATCGAAATCTCAAAAATTTTCACAAACTAAACGTCAGAAAAAAATGTCGACTGGGTCAATCAAAATGTTTCATTTAAATTTCAACTATTTAAAATGTGGGTTTTTTAGTATAATTAGCTTACATCTCTAAATGTAGAGTCACTTTGAAACAGAGAAACTGGAATGTTTTCTTTAGAAAATATCAAAATGAAACATTTCAACAATTTCAAAACTTTTTTTTCTGAGTGGAAAATATTGTCAAAACTGCCCCTTTCCCTGGGAAAGTTTCGGTTTCAACAAGAAACATTCCATGGAATGGTTCCTGACTCACTCTCCCCAGTCACTGATGTCCTGGGGCCAAACACAGTGCCTGCCATTGGCTTCTCTTTATTTCACCCCTCCCAAAGGACGCAGCGTCCGGGTCAGTGACGCCATCGTGGGTAAATTCGAGCAGCGCATCACAGAGATGAACATGAGCGAGGACTTCACCTACTACTTCCCCACGTATGGTGAGTCCTGGCTGTCCCGCTGTCCAGTGCAATGGGGGTGGGGGGTCGTCTTCCTCTGCACCCTGGGGCAGGGGCAATGTTCCTTCTAATTTTTATATCCATGTGTGGAATGAATTTTATTATGTGCACTGATATGGAGGTGATGTGTGGCGAGGGGGGGGGGCGGGGGCAGGGAGTTCGGGAGTGTGGGGAGGGGACTCAGGGATGGGGCAGAGGATTGGGGTACAGGGGGGGT